GTAGCTTCACTGTTTGTTATTTTGTGAGGATCTTTAATTCCCAAAGCCCGCTGTTCATCCACGAAGTTCAACGCTTCTTCATAGTGCGGAAATCACCCCCGCACAATATAGATAAAAAATGTAAGCTGGATTGGGATGTGGACTTAATAGTTAAAGATATTTTGCCTTTAACTAAGTATTTTGTGTTTTTATGTATAACTAAAGTAGATAGACAGCTAGTTGAACTAGCGCACAAACTTGTATATATATATATATATATATCTTTTGCTAGTTCTAAAAAAAATAATTAAAAAAAAAAGTTATACTCTCCATTTGTAATTATTTTTAATCATATACACTTGTAACTTTCACATAATTTTTTGAAATTGTGAGTGTTGAGGTTATTCACTCATTTCTTGAATGACAACAACAATGAAATCCCATTACAACAGCAAGACGGTGGACAATGACATTTCAACTGCAAGCATTATTATAAATAAATAAAAGAGGAAGTCTAACATCAACTGCAACCATTATATAAATAAGGGTAATAATGATATATAAAATATGTTTGATACAGTTTCTTGCCTAACAAAACTCGATAATTACGAAAGGTAGAAATGGAGGTAGAAATTGTACCAAATAATATGCACAACTTTTCAAAATAAAAAAGAAGTTATGAACAACCTCAGCCTCATATGTTGCACCACACATAGACGTAAACAAAATTTGTATAAAAAAAACTTTATATATAATAATGTGTCTCATTATTATATCAATTCATTAAATGTATATCAGTCTCTCTTATTTTTATAAATAAATTTACAGTGATAAATTTATCAGTCAAAATCTGTAAGTAAATAAGTCTAGTTAATAGGACGGATTAGTAAGTGTCCCTACAAAAAAATGCCATAACTATATCATTTTATATGAGATTTTTAGTCAATAATTTTATATGTTTAATATTATCCCAAAAATAAAAGTCTAGCCTTGAGCTGAATACTAATCTTGGTGTCCATATATAATAGCAACTAGTACTCCTTTGGAGTATAAAGACTGATATGTCATAGAGTTTATTTAGTATTGAAATTATTTATTTGTTCCAAATATGCCCCCAATAGATATTATCAAATAAAATTTGAGCCAATGACTTTACATTAGCAAATTTGGACTTTTCTTATAAACTAATCAACATTGCAGTGAACACCATTTAAGTAGTTGATTTGTAAACTGATTTTTGGTGTCAAATCTTGACTGGTTGAAGAAGAAAACCATTGTCATGAACTTCTTGGCAAGATATGATTGTTTAAATTATTTGATTAATTTTTTTGGAAACTTACAATAGTGTATATACATTGTACCCATTTGACAAAATTTATTTACTTTTAAATTTTAAAATTTAAAATTCTATACTTAAGTAATTGTACTTTGAAAAGTTCATACGTTTGATAAAACTTTTTAGGTTTTCATTTTCTTTTCAACTAAAAAAGTTCAAAATAAATTCAAAAGACTAATTTTTTTTTTTTACACATTCTTTTTGCTTCGGTAAAAAAAAAACATTTTCTATATTTTTTGGTGTTTGGTATGACAAGAAACATTTTTAGTGATCAACATAAACTAAACTTTTTTTTTTTTTTTCACTTTTGAACTATAAAAAACATAATCTGAACTAAAGTTTTACCAACACCAACACACTACAGCTAGTCTATGACCTTGCCAACACCTTGCCGTTACCACCATACCAACACCATCACTAGCACATTAATTTTAAAGTCGCAACCAAATATGAAAAGGTACTCTCTACTAAAAATAATTCCTTGTAAAAATTGTATTTCAAAAAAAAAAATGTTGCCAAAATCAATGGAGCACAAATTTTGTCAATAGTTCTGCTACTAGTGATAGAACCCACTTCATCACATAATATATGTCTTAGTTTTAATATCAATCAATAAATAAAAAATATGACAAAAAATGATGCGTTTGTAATTAGTATTATTTTGTTAAACGGCCCTATCATGTCCTTCCAAATTGTGCGAAAAGGATGGGGTGCATTAATGGCTCACTTTTGTTCTAAGTAACAAATTGTACCCAAACTCCTCCATTCATGTCATTATTTTATTTAGGCTCCGTTTGGCAAGAGCTAAATCGGATTTTTTTAACTATTTTAGTCACAAAAGACAAAATAGACTATTTTAGCCACAAAAAACAAAATATCACATCCAACCCATAATCATTACATTCTTCTCTCACAAAACAAGCAAAAAAAGTCAAAAAGTCAAAAAACTCTTCCCAAACCAAACTTTTTAGCCCAGGCTAAAATAGTCAAAAAAGTCAAAAAGCTAAAAAGTCAACCTAATTCCCAAACGGAGGCTTAATTTATTTTATTATTGTCACAAGTGGGAGTGCACATGCAATCCTTTAGATGCTAATTAATGGGCAATCCTTTTTACATTATTAATTTCAATGCAACAAACAATGATCTTCCATTGTTCTCCAACTCCATTAATCTGTAAGCTTTTCAAAGCTTTTAACTCAAGTCTTAATAATAATTAAGGGCTTGTTTTGAGGACCACAATCATGTTTTTCCACGCGTAATCCACGCGTAACAATCATCATATGACACAAAATTTCAGTTTCTTCATTTCGAATAATTATTACTCATTCTAGAAAGTGTAATAATATACAAATTTTACAAAATTTCAATTTCTTTATTTCAAATAATTATTACTCATTTCAGAAAGTGTAATAATATACAAATAAAAAATTTATATAGAATTTTTATCGAGATTGATGTGGCTCAACATACATCTTTCATTTTTATAAATATTTTTAAATAAAATATTTGTACAAGTGAATTTATTTATAAAATGACATTGGTCCATCATTTTCGTGGAGCTTTTTGTATGAATTTTATATATGAATGGACTTTTCCTTGCAAAAACGTTAAGTAGGTTACACCTAGAATGATAATCTACAATTCAAGATGAGATTTATATTTAAAATAAATCTGAATCACATATTCATTTTTCTGACTAAAACTATGAATATGTAATATTGTACCAAGTCACCCCCAACTTAGCTGCAAACCCTGCCGATAGGACAATAATTTCAATTTTGAGAGTTAAAAAGACAATTAGGTGTCGTTTGGGAAGAGCTCATTTGGGCTCTTTTGGCTCTTTGAGTCACAAAAGACAGAATAGGTTATTTGAGCCACAACAGACAAAACATCACATCCAACCCATAATCATTACACTCTTCTCTCACAAAAAAAAGTCAAAAAGTCAAAAAATCATTCCCAAACCAAGCTTTTTAGCCCAGGCTCAAATAGCCAAAAAAGCCAAAAAGTCAAAAAGTCAACCCACTTTCCAAACGGAGGCTTAGTAACTTTGTCAAATTTTAATAATAAATTTTACTGTCTTTTGAAATAGAAATTTATAAAAATACAAAATTTTGGATGGATTTCACTACTGTGACCAGTGGCGGAGCCAAGAAAATAAATCAGAGGGGGCACTTCTTAATTACAATATTAAAAATATTTACAAAAATATTTCATATAAATTTTTACGATTGACTTCAAGAAATATAAAATTAAAAAAAAATCAATGTGTTTGGTTTTAGTTTTTTGAATTAAGTTTTTTTATTTTTTTTGTTTTTAGTGAATATTTTTAAACTTTTAAGCATTTTTTTTTTACTTTTTTAGATACATGATGTATCTAAAAAAAAATAAAATATTTGTGAAAAAATATTTTTAAAAATTAATAAATACATAAAAATACGAAAAATGTATTGATTTTTTTTATTTTTTTTATATTTTTGATATTTAGTGACTTTTTTAAAGATTTTTTCAAAAATTATACTTTTTAAGTATATTTATGTTAGGTGTGTCTAAAAATTAAAAAAAAAATTGCTTAAAATATTAAAAAAATTCAATAAAAACAAAAAAAATACGAAAAACAAAAACGTAGAATTTTTTGAAAAGTGTTTTTAGAAAACTCAAACCAAACAAAGTGAATATGTTATTTGTAATTAGTGTATCATAGACAACATTAAAAAAAAGTCATGGATATAAAGTTTTAAAATAAATTATATAATGATAAAGTAATTTTTTTATACAAAATATGCGTAAAAATTCAATATAATAGTCATACCACGCAATCAATGACATATGATATATTACCAATCAATAATAAAGAAACACATGGAGAGTGAACCTTGCATATTAAATGTAACAAACAATTCAATAAATTCTATATTTTCATTGAAATTAATTATATTTACATATCAATAATGATAGAGATCACCATTATATTGAATTTCTCATAGATAATAATATCGTAGTCTCTTTATTTTCAATCAAAATAATCATTATTGTTCTTATAATTTTAAAAATATCATTGACATTTCACTCTAAATAATATATTTATAATTTTTTTATATAAAATATTTTCTTTATGCTTGTTAAAAAAAAAAAAAACTCCAAATCTCAGGGGGCACGTGACCCCCCTGGGCCCTCCTTTCCTCCGCCCCTGACTGTGACATTTCGGATTAAAAAAATTACAAATCGATCGAATCCAAACTAAACTATATATATGGTTTGTTTAATAGCTTCTTGGTATTTTTTTTTTTTTGATGTTTTAGTTTATGGAAAATAAATGAAACTTTTCAAATTTTCTATTAATTTTTTTTGATATATATATATTTTTGTGCAAAAATATATTTAAAAAGGGAAAATTAGTAAAGAGTTCATTTTTTTTAGTGTGTACGACATTAGCTCAAAGGATTGTTTTGTTTTGTTTTGTTTTGCTGATAAAGACATCATTAATGAAATTGTTTGATGAGAATGACAAATTATTATTTTGATTTTTTTTTTTTTCATTTTTACCCAATGCTGTTAGATCGCCGCTAGCCGGTTGCCAAAAAAGTTGTTGTTGGCACCGAAAAAGTAGCTAGAGGTGGTTGGCGGGTGATGGCTACTAGTGACTAGTGGTGATGGTGGTAATATAGACAAATAAGCAAATTAGGTAGACAAATAAAAGATGACACATGGACAAATATATAACATGTGGGTAGATAAGTGACATACACAAATAAGTAGGCGGAGAACAAATAAATTAAGATAATATAACATTTCAAATTATTATTCTCCTTTTAACCTTAAAATAATAGAATTTGAAACTATTGTTTCAAAAATTTTAATTTTTGATCTGGAACCATTTCAAATTTGATCACAGTAGGATCCGAAGTATACTCTTGGGATTAGCTTTTGAACCTCTCCCAAACTACCCCTCCACGAATTCTATGAAGATTTTGATCTGGAACTGTCGCAGGACAGGAAACAATACCTTCAAGCGTAACTTAAGGGAGCTCCTTCGAGCCCACAAACCTGAAATTCTTGTCCTTATGGAAACGAAAGTAACCTTTAGTTCCTTTGGGAATTTTTTCAACAACTTGGGCTTTTCAGCTTCCACTGTGGTAGATCCAATAGGCAGAATGGGGGAAATCTGGCTGCTATGGGATACAGCTCATGTCAATGTCCATACTTCCTCTGTCTCTAACCAATATATCCATGCCACCATCCATAAGGAAGACTATGAAGAATGGGTATTATCTGCAGTTTATGCTAGTCCCAACCCTGTAACAAGAGAAATTTTTTGGGAGGAGCTGGAAAGGACAGCTACCAACATGAACCAGGCCTGGCTAGTTGCTGGAGATTTCAACAATTTCACTGATCACAGTGAAAGAAGGAGCTTTACACCCAACCACAACTTTACCAGAGCACAGAGGTTTAGAGAACGAATAAACAACTGCAACCTCATTGACCTGGGAAGTGTAGGTCCTAGACTTACCTGGACTAACAACAGACAAGGTCTGGCCAACACTATGGAGCGCTTGGATAGAGCAATGAGTAATGCACAATGGCGAACACTCTTTTTTCTTGAAGGCACTGTAAGGACTCTCCCTCGCACATACTCAGACCACTCCCCTCTAGTGGTTTTCACTCAAGGTATGCACTCCCTTCACCCTCCTAATAGACTGTTTAGATTTGAAGCAGCCTGGCTTAGCCATCCTAATTTTTATGAAGTTGTTCAACATTCTTGGCTCAACATGAATAATAACCTTATTGAAGCTGGAATAAGGATGTTTTGGGGAATAAGGATGTTTTGGGGAATATTTTTAAAAGAAAAAGAACTCTCCTTGCTCGTATAGAGGGTATCCAGAAGGCCCAAGATACTACATTTTCTCACAGTCTTCATACCTTAGAAAATGACTTGGTTAAACAATTCAATACTACCATTTTTCAAGAAGAGGTCCTTTGGTTTCAAAAGTCTAAGTCCAAACGGCTTACCATGGGTGACCAAAACACCAGATTTTCCATATATCTACCCTTAATAAAAGAAGGAAGCTTAAAATCAATGTCCTTAGGGATGATGAGGGAAAATAGATCGTTGACACCACTGAACTTAAAGCCAATATCATTGACCATTTTCACAATCTGTTTAAGTATGAAGAGATCACCATTTTAGAGGATTGGAACAATATTGCTAGAACCAGATTCACTATTGAAGATAATGATAGGCTCTTAGCCCCTATTTCTTACTCTGAGATTTGGAAGACCATAAAAAATATCAAAGCTCTTAAAGCACCTGGCAAGGATGGTATTCAGGCTGTCTTCTATCATCAACACTGGAACATTGTTAGCCCATCCTTTTGTTACTTTATTAAGAATTGTTTTCATAACAAAAAAGTCCTCAAGGATGTTAATGAGACCCAAATTGTCCTCATTCCCAAAATTGACAACCCTGAGACCATTAAACAATTCAGACTTATTAACTTTTGTAATGTCACTTATAAGGCCATTACCAAGATCATTGTTAACAGAATTAGACCCCTCATGCCAGACCTTATCAGTCCTAACCAGAGCAGTTTCATACCTGGCTGAACTACCACTGATAATATTATTATTACTTAAGAGATCATTCACACTCTTAGATATAAGAAAGGAAAGTCTGGGGTTATGGTTCTTAAAATTGATCTGAAAAAAGGCTTATGATAAAATCTCTTGGGATTTTATTCATCACTCCCTAAAAGAATTTAAACTTAATGATGATTGGATCACCCTTATTATGAATTGTGTTTCTAATGTTAGTTCTAATATTATCTGGAATTGGGAGACCCTCCCTAGCATAACCATGGGAAGGGGACTCAGGCAAGGAGACCCCTTATCCCCCTATCTTTTTGTCCTTTGCATGGAGAACCTCTCTAACATGATTAGAATTCAAACTGAGAAAGGTAGGTGGCAGGGCCTGAAGGTTGCCAAGGATAGCCCCCCCTATCTCCCACCTTTTTTTTGCTGATGATCTTATCCTGTTTGCCAAAGCCAACAATAGAAACTGTGATTGTATTATGGAAGTGCTCTCTGATTTTTGTGTTATGTCTGGCCAGAAAATCAACCTCCTAAAATCTAAAATGTTTGTCTCCCCTAATCTATCTAGAAGAGAAGCTCTTCCTTTCAGCCATAAGTGTGGCATATCCTTGCCTAATGACCTTGGCAAATACCTGGGCACTCCCATCCTACACCATCGAGTTAACCAATTCCTCCTAAAAGATATTATTGAAAAAATGTCCAAAAAACTCTCAGGATAGAAAGCCAAGAATCTATCCTTTGCTGGTAGAACTACCCTGGTTAAAGCTGTAACCTCTGTTATCCCTAATCACTTGATGCTAACCTTGGAAATCCCTAGGGAAGTGTGTGGCCAAATTGATAAATTGAATAGAAACTTCTTGTGGGGCAGTTCTGAAGGTGCTAAAAAGGTTCATCTTGTGAACTGGCACCAAGTCTGTAAACATAAGAAACATGGTGGGCTTGGCATAAGGAAAGCTAGAGAGCAAAATTCAGCTTTTATCTCTAAATTGGGCTGGAAGCTTACTAACAATGCTGAGGAGCTCTGGTGCAAAGTCCTCAAGACCAAATATCTCAAGAATCATTCCCTTTCTAACTGGCCCAGCAAAAGAAGAGCTTCTCATACCTGGAAGAGCATTATCAAAAACAGAGATGTACTTGATAAGAATATCAAGTGGAATGTGGGTACAAGGGAGGAAATCAATTTGTGGACTGACTGGTGGTGTGGGTCACAGGCCCTTTGCAACAAGTATCCAAAACCTCATGTTGATAATGGAGTTATGGTTAATTCTATCATTGATGATGAAGGTCAATGGGATTTATCTACAATTCAGGATGTCATCTCTCAGCAGGATAAGGAAGAGATTCTTAACATATACCGGCCTAGGTATGTAACATTCAAAGATAGTCCCACCTGGAAGGGTTCTGCCAATGGTAATTACTCCACTGCAGCAGCCTATCAAGCCATATTAGGGCATGAAGACAGTGATGAAGACTGGCAATGGCTACGGAAGTTCAAGGCTCCTCAGAAAATTAAAAGCTTCCTGTGGCTAGTTGTTAAAGATAGACTTCTAACCAACGACATGAGGCTCCTCAGAAACCTTTCTTCAACTGATACTTGTCTTAGATGCCAGATCAGTAGGGAAGATGTCCCTCACTTACTCAGGAGTTGTCCTAAAGCTCAGGCAATTTGGTTACTTTTAAGGGGCTGCAATTGGTGGCAACACAGTATATCAGCTCCCCTTCAAGAATGGATTAAAGCTAACCTTAGGAGTAAAGGGCAATACTATGGTATACAATGGCCCACTCTTTTCCTGACAGCAATTTGGAGCATTTGGAAGGAGAGGAACAAAGAAGTTTTTGCTAACCACATCCAACCGCCTTCAGTCAGTGTCAACCTCATTTTACGGCAAGCAGAGGCAACCCAACAAGCCTTCCAGAATGCCCTTAATCCAAATTATGCTACTCCCACACTAACTTTCTGGTCTTGTCCTATTGCAGGTAAACTCAAACTTAACACTGATGGTTGCTCCAGAGGTGACCCAGGACAGTCTCACTATGGAGGGCTACTAAGGGATGAAGTGGGCTCATGGGTGTGGGGCTTCCAGGGCTACTTAGGGCATTGCACCAGCTTGGAGGTAGAAATTTGGGGAATCTATAGAGGTTTGACTATCATCATGCAAAAAGGGATGTCCAACATCACCATTGAAAGAGATTTCCAAGCTGCCATGGACCTGATCAGAGATGGTGCTGCAAGCTCATCACCCTTTCGAGCCATTGTAGAAGATGCAAACTTCTTTCTCAATAGATGTCAGTGCTCCATTCAGCATGTACCCCGAGAAGGCAACCAGAGTGCTAATGCCTTGGCAAATCTTGAAGCCAATCAACAAGAACATCTGATCTACCTGGAGGATCCACCTAGCTCCATACTTTCTCTTCTTATTACTGATATGGTGCATGCTTCTGTAAACTCTAGAAGGGATTGATATATCCCTGGACTATTTTGTATGCAACTTTGGTTGTTTTTTCCTATGAATCAAAAAAAAAAAAAAAACAACATTAGCATAAACTTGTGCGAAATGGCCATTAAAGCAGTCACATCAAAGCTACAAGCTTGTTATTTTGTAAAAACTTTTGGACAGTTCTCTAGGACATCATGGTTTGATTTAGATGATCATTTGGATAAGGTATAGTTTCGAAAGTTAAAAAACTTAAAACTGATATTAGATTAAACAATGACTCTAGCCTTACTAATTAAACATTTTAATAATCTTTCATGACTCATTTGAACTATAAAGACTCATTTGAACTATGAAAAAATTGAAATAATTGCGATGTATTCAATGAATGTCATAAAGTATTTTTTAAAATCATTGTGAACAAAATTTCTACAATTACGGCTTGATGGATGGACAAAACTAATGTGGTTTACCTATCGTTTAACTTTCTTCATACAACTGCATTTAATCAAAATTGCTTTTAAAAAAAAAAAAAAAAAAAAAAAAAAAAAAAAAAAAAAAAAAAAAAACAAATTTAAAAATAATGACTCGATGGTGGCTTCAATGTTGCTCAAAATTGAAGCTCAAAAAAAAAAAAATAATAATAATAATAACTAATTGGAGTCTTTTTATAATTTTTTACATTATAATTTTTCTTTTTTGATACTATAATTTTATTTAAAAGTTACTAAAATGGTCTTATTTGCTGCAACTTATATATTGTTTATAATTTTTTATTTTGAAAATTTGGAGAGAAAAAATACGTAAATATAATAAATCATTATTGAGAAACAAGTGAAGAAATACTTTAACTTCTATTTCCGATTATTAATTTGCAACTTATAAGCAGCTACATCAAACATGTCTAATTTTCTTAAACTTGACAATAAAAATAATATTGATAAAGAGACATTTTTTTTGTCCACTATCCTGTTTGTTTACTGTATATAAGGGACGGATATGAGGATGGGACCGAATATAATATGAGTGGATCTCACATATTCTTTTTGTCTTCTTATATCCCGTGTTTGGTTGCTCTGAATTTAGGAAGTCTGAATAGTATATGATGCAAAATGGGAGATATGCAATACCAACCCTCCATAATATTGTATATCTCCTATTGTCGGATATATGAAAATTTTCATTCAAAGTAAAAAATAATTACTTTCCTCTTATATGATCCTAGATCATGTCCTAACCAAATATAATATAAGTGACATCACAATAACATATATAATCCATCTCATATATTACAATATATTATATTCAATTTTGATGTTTAAATATTACATATCCTCCCTAAATCCTTATATTTCATCCCAAAAATAAAATGGGACCTTTGAGAATAAAACAGGTCTAATACAAATGTAATGATGAGACCACTTTTTTTTTTAATCCAAGAGGACATAATATGCTCTTTTCGACGAAGTGGTATTCTTTTTTAATAATTTAAGATTTAGATTTAATTATTTTTAATTTATTTATAGTGAGATTTGTTATTATTCTTTCAAAAATATAAAATTATTTTGATGATAACTTTTTTACGTATATACATTTTGTATGATAAATATATAATAAGTGGTGTCATCTTCTACACGGGACCCTAAGCAAGCTCCGAAGTTGCTTATCGGAGCCACCACTGGTCAAGAGCCCATGATCAAACCCTTAGCCGTGAACATAATTAATATTCTTTTTCTTCAATGAAACCATTAAATTAAACTAATCCAATTCTGGCCCTAAATAATTCTACTAAAAGCTACCCAAAAAAGATTTGGATGACATCTGTAAAATTAAACCAATTTATTGCCATTAAATGAGTGTTTGGAAAGTTACTATTTTAATAAAATATTTTAGTTTTTAGCTATTTTAAGAAGCTAAAATTTTTGTGTTTGAGAATATAGTTGGATTTTTTTATAGTTAGATGTGATGTTTGTGAGATAAAAAGTGAAATGATTATGGGTTTGATGTAATATTTTATCTTATTGGCTACTTTAACATATTTTATCTTTTAGTGCTATTTTAGTCAAAAAAAAGTCAAAAAAATTGCTTCCCAAACACCCCCTTAGTCAACTTGTGTAATCTTTGACCCATCAAATAATAATAATAATAATAATAATATTCCCATAGATTTCAATTTTCCAACCTGCAGAAGCATCACTTTGTACCACCTAACTTGCTAGACATTTGTCTATTGGAGCAAGGTGAGAAAGTGACACATATTTAGGGGGCATCATACAAGGTTTTAGAAGGCACTATCCAAACATTACATTCAAAAGTGTGAGGGACTCTACTTTTCAGTTTTTATTTTGTAGTCATTTAAGTAAATGAACAAAGGAAGTTTTTGTTTCGGTCAGAATAATTTTATTTCTTAGAAAGATTATTCGTCTGAGTTGATAAATGATAATTTCTTTTATATAGTATTTGGTTCATTAAAATGAATAAAATATTAATTATGTAGCCTTTCTAAAATAATAGGAAATATCATAATAATTTCACTTATAATACATTTTTTATTATTCTTTTAGTGTCTGGAACGTAACTATTATAGTAAATGATTATTTCATTTCAATAAACTAAATAGAATATTAGCATGTAAAATCGTTTCTTTTTTACCAAACAAAACATAGGAATAAATATTTCAACAAAATAATCATTTTATTCCAACCTTAATTCTAAAAGTAAACTAAACGCTACCCAAAGGATTAGCCTCATACATGAGAGTGTATTAATTATTTGGGTTCGAGCCACAATCCTTTTCCTTATTTCTCTCCTACGACTTTGAATAATTTAAAAAAAAAGAAAGAAAATACATAAAAAATAAGAGATTTTTACCATCTAGCTCTAGCTCTGATCTATCTTGTGGACTAGATGTTAACTTTTGGACAAGTCATTTTGAATTTGTGTGAATGACACACAGAAAAAAATGTTGAAGCTTAATCTAGCTGTGGCCTATATAGGGGAGTGTTTGTTTCAGTTTTTCAGAGCTAACTTATGGCTTTTAGCTTTGAAAAAGTTATTTTGGACTGTTTGGTTAAACTTATTTCAAATAGTTTCTGGTTCTAACAGCTTATTTTAACTCAAAAAAGTTGATTCTGAGAAGCTGCTCACCCCTTGCTTCTGATTATCAGTTTCTGCTGTGGACATGTTAATTTATAGTTATACTCTTAAATTTTTTTATTTTTTATTTTTTTATTTTTTTAAAAATAGAAAAAGACCCAAATAGACTATAGATTATTATTATTATTTTTTATGAGAAATGTAGACAAACAAAAAATAAAAAGTAATTGAAAAAGCTATTTCACAACTTATTTAACAAATACTACTCAGCAACTTAAATCTATAATCCAATAGTAACACCAAACAGATTAACAACTTCTGATTAAAGTCATAATCTATAATCTGTTAAGTTATAATTTATAAGCTGTTTTAACAGATACACCAAACGGGGCCATAATCCTGTGAGTTTTAGTTTTAAAAAAATAATTTTTGGTTAAAAATAAAATAAAAAAAGAAGAAGTTGATTTTAGAAAAAATAGTTGTTTCATTCATTCTTAACTATTGGACTTTTCTAAATAGCTTTCAGAATGATTAAAATAAGTTTTTAAAATAAAAAATAAATTTATCAAATAAACGAAAGTTATTTTTTAACCACAACCAAATGAAGTAATTTGCATCAACATGTGGACTAAGCTCAAAAGTCATGAAAGGTTTGACAATCTCACAAAGTTCATGTATTATGATAAGGCATAGTGAACCACTTGCTGTAACTCTAGAATTCAATTCTTGAAATCTGTCATGCTACAACAAAGTCCATAAATTATATAACCCAACTTTTTAATAAGAGATGCTTTAAAGATGGACAAAAGGTGGGCATATCAATCATTGAACCACAGTAGTAGTGTGCTATTTTTAAAGAGAATCCAAAAATTTAAAACAAAACAAAACAAAACCTAAAAAAGAATAAATAAAGAAAATAAAGAAAAATCAAACACTCTGTGTGATTTTGAGTTTTCAAAAATAATTTTTTGAGTTTTCAGTTTATATATTTATATTTTTAGTGATTTTTAAAAATATTTTAATCAATTTTCTTTTAGTTTTTAGATCCACTTAATCTTGATATACTTAAAAGATATAAAATTTATACAAAAATTGTTAAAAAATTCATATAACAAAATACAAAAATGTACTAATTTTTGTATTTGGTAAATGTTTTTAAGCTTTTTTTCAAAAATATTATACTTGTTAAGTATATCTAGATTAGGTGTATCTAAAAAATAAATAAATAAATTGTGTAAAATATTAAAAGAATTCACTATTCACTAAAAACAAAAAAAAAATATTAAAAATAAAAAACTCCATTTTTCAAAAAAACAGTGTCAACTTTAAAATATTTTTAGATGGTAGAATGGAAACAGCTTTCCACCGATTTAATATAGAGGCTCTATGTTGTAACCAATGGCATTTATTATCGACACTTTTAGGTTATGTTTGGTTTATGAATTTAGATAGAGATTTAAAAAAAAAAAAATGTGAAATGTAATTATATTTTATTTAAATTTCATTAAACGTTTCTATTTCTTTTTGTAAATTTTTATTCAAATTCATAAATCAAATACCACATTAGTGTTTATAGTTTTTAAGGAGTTTTGACATAAACTTGTTATAACATAGGGAATTTGATGTCGATATATTTTATGGGGCAAAGTTGTGGGAGATTATTTGATGTTTTTATCATGAATATACACTTTATATGGATTTATAAATAACTTTTTTTGATGAATTTTTTTTCTATCATTTTTTCGAACTTTTTAATTTAATACTAATGTTTATTTTCATTTACTTTAGTATGAGACTTTTCAATTTAATTATTATTCTTGTCTACCTTCAAATCAAGATCCTTTATGTGACAATTTATAGTGACTTTTTAAGTCACTATAAGTTGTCACATCCCTCTTTACTTTTCTATACATCTTTTTGTAAAAAGTCAAAAAAATTACTAAAATAATCTGTTCTCAAACGAGACCTTAGCTTCATCCTAATTGGTTCCATTTAATTTCACTTATAAGTAGTTTTTATGATT